GGGGGCGTTGTCTATAAAATATATACAATTGGGACAATTAGGGAAATTTGAATATGGGTTCAATATTAGATAATATTATAAAAGTATTGTTTATTTTAAGGGTGTGACCATGCCTATTAAACAATTTAGGGGTAAAATGTCATGAGGTCTGCCACTTTTTTTTTAATCCTCAGAATATGTTTTTATTGATTTTAGAAAGAGGAAGGGATAGAGAAACATTGGTGTGAGAGAGAAACATCAATCGGTTGCCCCCCATACACATCCCAACTAGGGATTGAACCCACAGCCTAGGTATGTGCCCTGACCGGGAACTGAACCCACAACCTTTTGGTATACAGGATGACGCTCCAACCAATCCAAGCCTCCCACCCAGGGAGATCTGCTACTTACATTTATAGTTCAAAAAAGTACAAATGAATGTGACAAAATCTTAACTATTTATAAATCTTTGTAAAAGGTACATGGGTATTCATTGCATTATTTTTGTAACATTTCCATTAGTCTGGAACTTTGCAATATAAAAACACTGAAAGGAAAAAATTACCTTCACTCTCCTGTAATCCTAACACACCACCATCGTCAAATTTCCCCTCCCCCTACTTATCCATTTGGCTTTCTATCTCCGTCTTTCTTGCCAAAATGAATTGTTAGTACTGTTCAAGAAATCTAGCACTTGACTTGTTTCTTCTAAAAATATTATGAAGCACAGTGTCTCAACCTGAGTCCATGCTTCCTATGTCTCTGTCTCTCTTGGCCAACTTATAAGCTAGTGAGGTCAGTGACCGTGCTTGCATCATCTTTATAACCCCAGTGTAGAAACATTATAAGGAGAGGCAATAAGCATGAACTGAACTGAGCCTTTGGACCCGTTCACTAATCTTTAGTACCTGTTGTGTTACTCTTTAGCAAAGTGGGTAGTGGATTTCTTGGGAGAATGAAAAAAAAATGCTGAAACCAAATCACTAAAATGAAATTCTAGGATTGCCTCTCCCATGAGTATAAATAAAATGAGCCTTATACATAGTAGCTTTGTGCCACATTAGCAAGAGTATGGAAATTCAAAGTATGCCTGAAGCAGAATAAAGGTAAGGTGTTGCACTGCCATCTGTGCATGCTGCTGGCTTGCTTTATCTGACTTGCACCTGTTAGCATTTTATTCTCTAATACTATGCTGACAGCATTTTTTGTGATGATGGAGCACAGAGCTTGTCACTGGCAACATAGCACCATCCTACTTTAGAGTAAATAAAACTACTTCAGATTGGAAACTAAATGACAGAAAGTGTCACAGATGGAACACACGGGGAACAGGAAGGGAAAGCTGCATTGCTCGTGGTCCCCAGGGTCCAGGAATGGAGTCAACTCTGAAATGCTGGCAGTGGACTCAAGCTATTACCATGTGTATGCAGAACAAGCCAACTTAAATGCATTCATCTTTGAGAATAAGAAGACGCTCCTGTACTTTTGTTACAACAAAAATCAAATCTATCCATTCCCTCAGTGTTTCACTTCTTTAAAAATAGTTCTTCTTAACGTTACTCATTGCCCATTCTTTTTCCTTCTCTCTTTTCCTGTGCCTCCTTTTCTCCTCAGAGATACCTCCAGAAAGAAAATACACAGCCCTCAACCAGTCAACACAAATTCTTCAGAATTCTTTGAAATAGTTATTTTGTTTACAGTAACGTTCAGGAGACCCAATGCAGCCTGTCATGGTGATTGGTACAAACCGCCTTAAGTTTACATAGAAGTATGCTACAAGTATCAGGAATAGCAAAACAAGGTCTGAGACCTATTTTTGTTCTAGAGTGAAAGTCGCTAGGGCCCCCACTATGGTGTCTGCCTTTAGGAAATTGTTTATGCTTTCTACAACCAAGTATTCCCTTATTTCTCGTTCTCCTCTCTTACTCTTAGTCCAGGAAAACATCAGAGGAGAATAAAAGAAGAAAAAAAGGTTTAAGAAAGCAGGAAATGGAAAGCCATTTCTTTCAAAGCAGTGCACAGGCAAGAGCCTGACCATTGAAGTCACTGGAGGATTTACATTTACCCATGCAGTAGGTCTACCCCAGCCTAGTTCTGGACTAAATATTATGTTTAATTCCGCAAACCAATGTATGACCTGTCACACAATTACCCCTAATTACACAGTTGATCCTACCTCCTGCACTTCCTCTCCCAGTCACCACTATCAGTTGTCCTAAGCCCAAGAGATCAGATGTTCAGATGTACCATCTCCACTCACCTGCTAATGCCAGAACTCTTACCTGGCTAGATGAAGAAAAATGGTGACACACTTTTCACTGCCTAAATAGTTTCAGCCCCCACCTCTTTCTGATTTGAGAGCCCAATGAAATCCATTCTCTGGATTAAGCTTTAAAAAGAAATAAGTGAAGATGTTTGTAGCTAGGACAATGGTAAAGCACATTGGCCCAAGACAGGGGTTGGGAACAGGGAGAAATATTGGTGACGTAAAATAGGTTCCCTAGCCTAGCCTATTTTTTTATCTTCAGGTCATTTTTTCTGCATCTTTCTTCCCTCTTCTTTTTTCTCACCCTGTGCTGGTGTCAGTTAGCGACTGCCAAAGGCACCCAACTTGCTAAAATTATTTCTGACTCCTATCTATGAGCTCCTTCTTCTTTCTCACTCATTTGTCCGGTTAATGGCTAGCAAGAAGATTCCACCCAAATCAGTACACAGTGATTCGCTAGCTCTACCTGCTCTGATGCTTACTGAGCAGTGCTCTGTACCAGGTGTGGTGCAAGCAAAGCCGAGGACGCCTTGTCCTTGCCTGCAAGAAGCCTAAACTCCAACCGAGAAAAAACAAACATGCAAACAACTAAATCTAATGCAAGGGAGAATCCTGGAGATGGAAACACAGAGGGAAAAGTGACTAACATCAATGAATGGTGATATCACCCATCCTTATCAGATTGTACTGAAGGATTTTTTTTTCTTAAATCATTTAAAAAGACAAGAGTGCAAAGTCAAGTTTTATCGGATGTCACACAAAGAAATCTTCAACCTCAAACAGCATCTCCTCCAAAATTTTTGCAAGGGGTGGGAAGTAGCACAGTACAAATGCTAATCTGTAGCAGAAAAGGAACTGCATAGATAAAAAACCAGAGTAACTGCTCATAAGGGTTGTTTCCATCTGTGATAACTCCGTTAAGAATAGCCCTTACTTTGCCTTTCCTGCAAGATGCTACAGATGAAGCTGTGCGAATTGACAGGGTAGTGCAGACAAGCCAAGCATCCAGGTCTACAGAACATAACAGGGTGGAGTAGAGGTAATATCTGACTGGTAGGTTATCCCCTTTCCCTTCTTTTAGTTATCCAGGGAGTGAGCGAGTTCAGAGACAGTGGGCCTGGGTGAATGACCTAATTAAACATTTTTCTAGAGCTGGGCAATCATACAATGGAAAGGGCAACACCACTGGGAGAAGGCAGAAGGCAGCAGGGACAAGAGTAGCAATTAAAGACAGCATCTGAGGCCCCAACTGTAAATAACTGCTGTCCTTACTTCCCTGTCAGCTCTTCCCACAGCTAGAGTTAGATTCTTAGCCAAAGCCTGACCCTCACTCCTCTGCCCTCCTTTTGCACAAAGCAACATTCCCTAATGCAACATAGTAGTGGGCTGTCGATGACCAGCAGGGGTTTGGGAGCCAGGTGCCTCCTTTGCCTGCCTTCCATTTCCCAGCTTGTTGAATCTCTGAGCCTGTACTTCTTCATCTGAAAAACGGGGACAGTTATGGTAATAAACTAGTGATCATAAAATAGGCACTGTGCTAAGTGCTTTATGTGCATTATTTATTTAATCATCAGGAAAAAAGTTTAAGATAGTATGAAAAATAATCACTATTGTAAGTAATAACAATAATTCCTCCATTACAGATAAAGAAATTGCAGTTCTGAGAGGAGTTAATTAACTTGCCCAAGGTCTAACCTCACTGACTGAACTCTTGACTTCTTATACTATTGTCATAATACCTGTCTAAACAGGGTATTGAAAGTGTTAATATCAATGTATATGGACACCAATTAATGCTATTGTCAGTATTTTAGGTGCTGTTGCTGTTGATAGTGATATTGTTTTTGGTGATTTTCTCTCTCCCCAAGAGTTCCGAGGTCTATTAAGCACAAATCATCAGTCCATGTACTGGCAAGCCTAAACCAGTTACTTAGGGACATTTTTTACCACCATGTAACAAAACTAATATACCTTTTAGATATTTCATTGTTAAAATATACCTGTTGAGGATGAATGAGAGGTCAAGAGGCAAGGAAATGGGATTAGTACCAGTATTTTAACTTCATATCTAAATGGTCCCCAATGCTTATGCTTAAAACTTCAGAATAACAAAATATAAGGTATATTTTTCTTACATGTCTCAGTTAGATTTCCCAAGTTAAAATTATGTACCATATACTAACTTTTCATTATCCAAACTTCACTTTTGCTCTCTTCTTATCTTTTCATTCATTTTTCATTGTCATGAAATAACTATGATAATTGTTTAAACCTCTGACATGATAAGATACCAATCAGATTAAATATAGCAAGCATTTGGCATGCACCTGGAGACTTCCCTAAGTAAAATAAAATTATCGCATTTCATCACTTCTCATTGCCAACTAATGTCCCCACATCAAGAGGGTCATTTGCAGCTACATATCTATTTATAATATTATGTTCACTGTCTTCCTTCCTCTGGCACATTGTCTGTGACCTTGACTGTTGGAGGGATGATAAAATAGTGCCATCAACATATGTTTATGAAGCTCTAGACATCATGTAAGAGATTTCCTAGTTATTAAAAGTGATAAAGAGTGACAAGAGTAGTTCTGTACTATAATAGTACCTGTCAATAGAAAAATGTCATCCTTACCATAATGTACCCACAGGCATAATTAGGAGGTAGAAAGGGAATGATTCTCTGGGCATATTAATAAGAGGGCTGGGATCAAACACAGCAGCAGTAGAAGGTACCTTTTCTCCCAAGTACCTGAGTGGAACACCAGTTCACACCAAAGGGTCCAGGCAACAGTGATGATCCCATTCCAAAATGTGGAGCACCAAAGAATGCCCAGCTTAGAAGCACTCTTGAAGAGGGGCCAGCAGGAATTTCTGTGAGGAAATGAGATTTTTCTGACTTTTCCTAATAGCATCAGTATGAAAACCAAAATAATGAATACCTTGGGGGCACTAAGAGCATTAAAAGAATTTAAACTTCTAAGAACATTAAAGGAATTTAAACTTCAGAATTCCTGAATGCTCATATCCATAAACACAAATCTGTACATCCCACAGAGCTAAAAATAAATCTGCCTGGAGGTCTCCTTCCTGTTCACATGATTCTCCTTAACATTTGGTAGGATCTCCTCCCTCTTATCCTAACCTTTATCCTTGTCATGCCCGTCTGTCAAGGGCAGGAGGTAAAGAAAGAAACAAATAAATTGGGCTCCAAATTCCTGCTCAGTTAACTGCCCCACTCCCCACCCCCTGAAAAAGTCTGTTTTCCTAGGACCAAAGAAAAGGTGTCCCTGCAACTGAACACTAACTCTCTGTAAAATGGGGTGTGGGGCGGTTGGTGTATCCTCAGCCATCCTTTCAGCTCAAACCCTTCATGGAGCTGAGATGCATGGCTTTAGATGAGAAGAGTCTCAGCAGAAACCTCACACAGCCTCCATCCTGGTCCTTGGCCCCTTCTCAGGCGGTGGGGTGGAACGTGGGCAGCTGCGAAAGGCTAGGACTGGGAGGTTGACAGGGCTCCCTCTCCTCAGGGTTAGTAGTGGCTCCAGAGATGGAGCAGCTTGCTCCCAAATGACCGTTCCACCTTACAGAAAAATCACATCTTCACTTTGACTCTCTGTCTGATTCACCCTTCAGCACAAACTCTTATCCAAGCTCCTCCACTTCACAGATGTGTGACGACTTCTCTGGGCCCCGGTTTCCTCATCTGTAAAAGGAGGGTAGTAACAGTATCTTTTGCCATTGTGAGAATTGGTTAATGTATGAAGGTGTTTAGTATGGCTCTGAGGACATAGTAAGTAGCTCATAATTGCTATGGTTTGTATTATTATTACTGGTGGTAGTAGCAGTAGTAATCATAGTAGTAAGTAAGGGTAGTATTCTCTACCACTAACACAAGGGATACCAACGCTGTTATCTTTCCCTCCCCATATTAAGTTTCAGGTGAATAGTTCAGATCCCCACATTAAGAGTCTGTGTCAGGAAACAAGCTTTGGACAAAGCCTACTGCCAGCATTCTGGGGACTTTGCTGGAAGGTTTGCATTTTCTCTTGACAGGAGACACTGTCTGTTGAAAGTGTCCTTGCCACCTCTATAGTATTAATAACTACCAGATGTGACTAGAGAATACTAAACATGTCAGTGATTTGATTCTATCGGTTTACGTCATGACTAAAATAGGCAAGGTCACAGACAATGGCATAAAGGAAGACAGAGGTTCCATGATACTAAGCCCAAATTACTTCTCTGTAATGTGTACTTTTTAGGATTTTAGAGTCCTATATAGTGTCTGTGTTTTATGGAGTCATTCTTTCCTGATAAATTTTTGTATTTTGAACAACACAGTCTGTGGATTAAACCAAGGTGACAATAGCAAATGACAGAAAAATAATTGTCTAAAATAATTCCCAAAACTCTTCCCTCAGAATGAGGTCTTGAGCCACGGCAGGTAGACTGGCACATTGCTCGCCATTCCTGCCCACAGTATCTAGTAACACACAAAGGCTATGGTTTTGAAATCATATTTCACCTAAGGTTAGAAAATAATGATAAGAGATCCAATAATTTAAATTGTTTTCTGCCCATCAAATATTTGAAATCTTCATAAGCTTTAAAATATGTTCTAATCACTAAAGGTTTTATTTTATGGAATCCTATCACCTCAACACATGTCACAAACTAATTTATCTTTGTTCACCTTAAATCTAGAGGGACATGCTAGAACGAGTCACAGTGGATGTGGTCAAAATTACTGACAGACTGATGTACCAAACAGTGTACATGTTCTTCATGGGAGTGGAAAGATGTGTTCAGAAGTGAGTGACTGAAAACCAGGCTCATCTTACAATATACAATTTTCTTAAAAATTAAATACATCCTTACCTTGGGGTGGATGGACTGTCTCCCCGGTGGTAGCTTGATTCAAAGGCAGCTCTGTTCTCCACTCACCATTCTCACTGAAGGGGTCCAGACAACTGCCTGTGGATGGTGAGGGAAGACATGTCCTACCACTTCCTCAAATCAACACACCCAAAGCCAGAAGACTGTACAATCAGTTCTTTACTCAAGCCCGAGTGATATAATCTATCTCCTACAGTGAGGTAACCCATCTCCTACAGTGAGGTAATCCATCCTGCACAACATTCAAAGTGTGGTGAGGGACTGAGAGAGGCATTGCTAGACTGGTTAATTTATTTCTAGGCACCGACTGTGAAAGTGAAACACAATCCCCTAATTTTGAGAGCCCTATAGGGACATCCCATCAGAAGTCAGTGAGTGACTCTTTTGCCACTCTTTCATACATTCTCTCCCCCTCTCTTATAGTTCCTCTCTTCCCGCAGTTTCCACTTCTCTGGTGTCCTGGCCATCAGAGAGGAAAGATTCAGATGTCGGGGTGAGGGAGGTGGTTGAGGAAGAGTCTCTCAAAATGATCTGTCTCTGGGTGAGAACACCTTTCATTGCAAAGATTAATCTCCTGTTAGTACAATTTACTACCTTGTCAAGTGAAAGAGAGTACTCCTTCTTCCTAGTTTTGAGTTATATCTCAAAAGGCTGCCTCCAAATACATTTCCACCCTAAAGTAGTTGTCCCAACCCTCTGTGTTCTATCAATAGGATTTATTTTATTCTTGGCATTTAATACTAGGTAAAATCTGGGTGACTCTAACTGTCTCTCTCCCTGTCTTCCCCTGGCACCAACCTCACTAGAATGTAAGCTCCATGGGAACATGGGCATCACCTCTCTTAGGATAGCTGCTGCTTTATATCCAGCTCCTATATAGGTGCTTGGCACAAGGCAGTAAGTTCTAGATCTGCATCTCCATTAGTTAACTGGCTTATTATACGGGTACTTCTATTACAACTTGGAAAAAACCTGAATTCTGGAAAGATGCTCCCAGAAAACCCACTCTTCCTCCTATATTTCCTAATATCTACCCAGCTAGAAAATTCAGTCATTCTGGAATTTACTCCCCACCCCCTGCTTCTCCTTTCTCCAATTCCCTACATTCCTATCCTCTTTCACCATGTTCCTCCTCTTCTTCTAGGCCCATCTCACCCCCTTCCTCATCTAACTGGTTTCCAACACAAGCCAATTCTTCCTCCTCAATTATCCCTCTTTCCCATCTGTAAGTGTTACCACCTCTGTTAAGTCTCACCACCACAGTTAGCAGCTGTCATCCCTGTGTATCACACTATTGTGGTTTTTTTTATTCATTCAGTGCTTTTTAGATCCTTTCAGAGTCTCACACTTCCACAAAAATCTGATAAAAATCATGGGCCCACGAAAATCACATTCTCTCAAACTTTTACATAAAATGTCAGTACTTTATATTTTAAACCTCTTACTGTAACATGCATTGTGGTTATTTTTTATAATTATTTATTTACACGCCTGTCTCTCTCACTAGAATAAGCAGTTCTAGGACAAGCTTGTAGCATAGGTTATCTTTTTCCTTTAATCCATGTTTTCATAGTACTGTGCTGAAAAATGTCAATGAAGTGACTGTCTAGTGCAATATTTAGATATTAGGTGAATATTGCATCTTCTAAATATCCGTCATTTGAGTAACAACCTCACAATTTTTGCCATATCTATTACAATTTGCCCTCTTACTTACTTACCATTTATGGTAGATTATTTGTAAAATGATGGCCAGATTTCTCCCACCTCTAATCATTGATGCCATTAATCTCCCAAACAGATGTGAAGTCTATTTCTCCTCCTCATGGATCTAGACTTGTCATGTCACTTGCTTTGACCAACAAAATGTCCCAGGTCTAGGCCTTTAGAGACGTTGTAGCTCTCTTTTTCACTCTCTTGGGATCATCTACCATCTAAAAAAGCCCAGGCCAGACTATTGACTGATGAGAGACCTCATGGAGAGAGAGAAGTTCAGCCAGGTTCAGCCACTCTAGACACTCCAACTGGGCTGCTAGACATATGAGCAAAGCCATCTTGGATCTTCCAGCTCCCACCAAGTTCTCAAGCCACAGAAATATCCCCAGCAAACATCACATGGAGAATTGCCCAGCTGAGCCCAGCCAACCCACAGAAGCTTAATTCATCAGTTTTGTAAGCTACTATGTTTGGGGGTAGTTATATAGCAACAGATAACTGATACACTACTTTTCTCTAAATAAATTAAGTTTTTAACTTAAGTATATGTTAGAAGAACTTTTTCATCACTTCCATTAAGTAGAAAATTAGTATCACTTTCCATAAAACTAAACACAACAAAAGGAACACAAGGCAGTGTTGTTCACTTCTAGTGAGATACTGCTGCCTCCAGAAGCCTCTATATTCGTTCCAAAGGAGTTCTCCAAATGTCAGAGAGTTATTAGAGGTACACTGGAACTCTCTCCTTGGTGTAAGCTGGACTGAAACTCATTCTGAAATGTGATATTCTTTAGTTCTCCGTCTATCAGTAAAAATCATTTTCTTGCAGTAAATAATAATACTGGTGGTAAACAGCTATGGCAAAAATTGTGCGGAAGTTACTCAAACAACTGACATTTGGAAGATGCTATATTAACCTAACACAAAACATTGAGAAAGGCAGGAGGCTGTCAAGTGTCCTCTACACAATAACACAATGCTAAACGCAGAGGGGTCTGAACAAAAAATAAAACATATGCAATCTGGTCCTAGAAATGCTTATATTATAGTGGAGGCAATGGAATGTAAATAAATAGTTCTAACACATTAGCCATGGTAAATGTAACTGTGTTAGGTTTAAACTATAAACCCATGGACTCAGACTCTAGCACTGGATTCGATAATGCATAGGACTGTGATTGGTTCAATTGTTTCTAACTCAAGGCTTTTCAAGATTGCCTAGACATTCTTTCTTAGTTTCTAATTTTGAAATCAAAACTCTGACCTTCTCTTTCCTCTTTGGGGTTTTATACCTTTCTCATATAGCTATACAAAAGTTCTCTTTAATTGCCTGATGACCAGACTCCCGAAAGATCTCTACCATTATCTAAGTTATTTGAGCTAGAGATATGTCATATAACTTCCTGCCTTGTATTATGAACAAGCATCTGTTAAATGAAGACCATAGCTCCTAGAACTCCTGCAGTAGTTATTTCCTGCTGTCTAGGACTGATTTTTAAAATGTGTTTTCTATTACTCACACTATGAACACTGAATGTGCACTTACTGAAATGTGTGCATAAAATATTTTGGGGGGGCCCAAGTTCTTCCTGCAATGTGTTCTATGTGTATATTCATAAATGTATGCTTGGACTGGCATTCTATGTCTATGTCTGTTTAGGTCAATGTTGAATATTTTAAATGGTGTGGGGACCGTTTATTGACATACTGCATAAAGCAGCCATTGCCATGTTATTCACATACGGGGCCTCGGGGCCTCTCCTCGGCATGAACGTGTTGCTGTTGATAGCTATGCTTTCCTCGGTGTTTCTTCTTTTATCATATTCCTCCAACATAGCAATTTTGTCTCTCTCTGGAACTTAAATTCAGTGAAAAATATAGACCTCTAAAATTTTAGTTAGTGCTTTCATCAGAATTTTGTTTTAATTTTTTAGCCATGTGGTGAACTGAGCGAGCTGAAGTCTCTTCTGTTCAGAGTTCTTAAAGATTTGACATTTAAATTTATTCTAAAATAGTTTTTGCATGAAAAACCAAGAAAGGGAGGACTGTGGTTTGTGCCTTGGCATGGAACTTTATAGGAGTGGGATAGAAACAGAGTGGTGGTGTTGAAGCTGTCTGCAGGGTTTACTGGCGCTGATTGGGGCAGGAGGGGCCCAGTGTCCAAACAAGTACATAATTCATATGACTAATTCTAGCTTTTGCCTAATCCTCCATCTCCACCCCCACATGATCAACATGTATGGAAATGTTAGTAAAGCCATCATCTTATTCTCGTTTAAATGACTGATTCTGTTCACACCCATGCCTGAGCTTTTCCACACAGAAAGGGGGACTTTCAAAGCAAGATTTTGTGAAGGGCAGCAAACCAAAGTGAGAACCCCTGCAAGACTTTCTGGGAGGGGGCAGAATTAGACATCTTTCTTTCATTCTAAGATGTTTTCTAATGGGTATGCTTCTGAGCCACAGGGGCATCAATGTGTGGCTTTAAAAATATTTTATTTATATATGTAATTGTATTTTACGTATGCATATGTATATATGCTAACTTCATTATTTTTTCTAAATACTTTTCCACCTAAACTTTAATCTTAAGGCATGTTTATCATCTAAATATACTTCTTGGTTACATGTGTCCTATTTTCATATTTAAAGCACCCTTTTCATTCATCAATTCTTCTGAACTTTTTCAATAGCACCTCATCATAATTCATAGTTTGAACTGATCAGCTATGACATGACCCGACACAATAGTTTATGGAGACTGAATACACATCATTTTTGTGTAGTAATAGAAAACACCTGCCACTTGGAATGTACAGCTCACTTAATACAAAGTAACAGATTTCTGAGGAAACTGCCAGAGACATGTTAAGGCCCCACCTCCCACCTCCAGTGGTTCCACCTAATGATTGCAGTGGCAGTCCTTGGAATAGCAGAGTTTTCAGGCTAAACCCTCACATCTTTTTTCTTAGAGCTTCTTCCAAAGGGGAACAAAGCACACATGTACGAGTGCATACATATATACGTGTGCGGGTATGTGTGTGTGTTTTCCTGCACTGAGGGTAGAAAGTTCTAGAAGTAGGTGTTAGGTGGTGCCTGAGATGCCAATATAGCAAGTGAAGAAAGTGGGGTGCATATGGAGAGGATTAAATCAGAGGCCTTGGACTGATTCTTTCCAAGTTCAAAATTCTATTATTCTCTGGTTAGGGGCAATTGAATCAGGGCAAAACCCTGCTTCACCCAAGACCTAAAGAGCAAAAGGAAAGAAAGAAGTGTTAACTGAGAGGTGGTCGTGGTTAGGGGATGAAGAGGCAGGAAGGTGCAGTCCATGAGCACTCTCACAAAGGCTGTGGTGAGAGGAA